GGCTTCCCACGCTTCGTAAGCGGTTGAATGGCGATTTTGCCCTGATAGCTGCACATCGCGGGCTGGACACTGTGTGTGGGCACGCTCATAATGTGGGTGGCAACGGGACTTACACTCAGAGAGGAGTTTTATGGGCCGTGTGACAGAGCGGGCAGAGGGGGGACACGCGCACGGGCTCGTGGGCGTGCTTATGTTCTCTGCTGCTGGAGCGGAAAGTGCACGCTCCGTGAGAATGGGCTCTGTGAGAGACCCTGGGCATAAGGTGCTTGAGTGTGTATGTGAGCACATGCTTGTGGGCACATTTATTACACTTGAGGCTTTTATGCTCTTTTGTGAACTCTCTGGATAGCCGTGAAAACGGCTTTTAGACGCTCGCAAGCGGGCAGGGAAACCGGCTTGTTTGTGGCGGTAAACACTACTGCAGTCAGCGGTGAGACGGGGACTAACAGTGGGCGAGGCTTTTACGGCGATCCGGCCGCAGCGGGAGAAGCCGTCCTTTTCTCAGCTGTGCTAGGCAGACTTCTGTTGATCGGGCTTCAGCGCGATCTTGGGTCGAGGCCCCCTGGGAGGAGGCTGTCTGCGGCGGCTATCTGAGCGAGAGCGGCCGCCCTGTCTACGCTGGGGCTGCTGAGCTTGCTGAGGCGGGCGCTGCTGTGGGGTTCTGGCAGGAGGCTCGTGAGAGCGGCCTGTCGAAGAACTAGAGCGGCGGGGCAAGAACAGATTCATGGGCTGAGTCGCTTTCTGAACCTCGGAGAAGCGGTCAACGATGCCCGTGACGGCAGATCCGAAGAGCCCGGTGGGAGAAATAGGCGCGTTGAGGAACAGGGCGCGTTCTGAATCTCCCATATCGGTGAGCGTGAGCCACAAGTGTCTCTCAGTGACAACGAGGGCGGCCATACATTTTCCCAGGGCTTGTGCGGCGGCTTTAGTGGCGCGAAGGGAAAGATCCGTCGCGCTTCTCAGATCCGAAAGGATGGGCGGGTTCCTACCGCTGTTCGCCATCTCGCACAAGATGTCGCTCTGGAGCGCCTGGATGGAATGCAGCGCTGAGGCGGCCTGTTCGGCGGCGGCAAAGGCGCGGGCAGCATGGCAGTATAACCCATCTCGGCGGCTCCGTCCACTGAGCGAAGCGGACCCCTCGGAGCGGATACGAGCCGAAAGAGGGGCATTCCAGGATTTAGTGAGCTCGTAGTGAAGCTCAGGCAGGAATGGTGCAGCCCGGCTGCAGGCGGGGGTCGAGCGCCGGTTCGGTGGTTGCTCGGGGGGAGGAGACCACTCGAGACCCAGGCGGTTGAAGGCCTGCGAAGGGAGGCGCGATAGATCCTCCTCGATGCCGGCGCGGGTCCCCGCAGACTCTCTCGTCGATGAGCCGATCGACGACCAATCCTCGCTGTCAGAAGGGTGCAGCGAACAAGAGTCCTTCTCATCCGCGGTGTCGTCGGAGGCGACAGAGCGGCCATACGGCGGCAACTGTAAGTCCGGCAGGGGCGGAGAGGGAGAGCGGTCGGTGGGCGGCGGCGGCGGCCCACATGGATCCGCAGGGGGCTCCGGCGGCCTCTGGGAGCGGCGTTTCTTCTTCCGCGGCGAAGTGAGAGGCGGCGCGGGAGCGGTTCTGACTGCCTGTAGTCGAGCCCGCAGGGAAGACGGAGGCAGGTCCTCGCAGTGGTCGCATCCTCCGTTGGCGAGCTCTGCGTGTTCCACTCCGAAACAGAGAACGCAGAAGCGGTCTCCTTCCTCGAGTGAAGAGCGGCATGAGCCGCAGGAAATTCGAGGCATCTTGAAAAAGACGCTCGGCTCTTTTAGGAATATGGAATAGTAAAAAGGATACGCGTCGGATGGCGCTAGCTTGCTGGGCGGCTGAAGGTGGCAGACGGCCGGCTTCCTCAGACTCCGGAGCTCGCTAGACGGTGCCTTCTCAACGACGGCGGCTTCTTCCCAGGACAGCAGATGCGTGTAGCTCGCTGAATGAACAAGAATCAACGAACGAGCTGGGAGAGCGACCTTTATACACTGTAGCCACGCCCCTTTTGGCGGGCTGTGACGCAGTGAGCGAGCGCCGTCCGCTCATTGGCCGCGGACTCAGCGCCGCTCTCCCATAGGTTCGTGCATTCTCTCTGAGCGAACCAATGAGCCGCTAGCTAGCCCGCTCATGGTCTGCCTCAGAGGAGACTGCGTTGACAATGATTACAAAATTATGGAATAATTTTTTGGCTTCAACTTCTCAGCAAAGATGAATCTTTCCCGTAGCGTAAGCTAGCTTACGCAATACGAGAGAACCTCTCGTAAGAGAACAAAAAACACAGCCAATGTCCAAAGTGGCAATTAGTTATAGGATAACGGACACAGTGCATCAATGATCATCATGTTTGTAGCATGATTCAGGGGATTAAAACGTCCGAATTATATTCCAGGCCTAGTGGAGTTGGTAACTAATAATAGTAGTAAAAGTGTAAAGTTGCATACAATGGAAATACTCACTAATGTAAGAAAAAACTACCTCAAAAAAACTGTTATCTGTGCTGTTGTCCAGTAACTCCAGTTGGAATTTTCACCCCGATATGGCGGCCGCGCTACCGAAGCGCCATCTAGTGGCTGTTACCAAAAAAGCATCAGAGTTTCGCCTCTTGTAATACTCTTTGGTGGTAACCCGCATGACGTTTCCTGTGAGTAGTAGGAGGAGCCAACGCACTTACGGTAACAGTACTTTTAGATGTGTTGATAGTGAAACGTCGTCGACACGTGATCCCAAGGAATACATTAGGATTCCGACCAGAATCCTGGATATAGGATCTAAGCTGGAAATAAGTAGGCTACAACGGATCAGCTCTGACAGCGTCAGCCGGTAGTGAGTGATCAAGACGCTCCGCTGCCAAATATTCCAGTTTCGCTGATGTGCAGTTAGCTATTTGTGTAGCTGCGTTTTACTGTATCTTCTTCGTCAGGCTATGATACATAACTTCCGTGTTTCCACACGTAGGTCCAGACGCACAAACGTGTCATTAAGGACCAATGTCTAATCAAAAAACAAGAATGGCTCATTCAGAGAGTGAGCTCATTCATGTTGCTTCGAGGCAATGCAGTTCGGGCGAAGTAAGTTGAGAACGAGAACTAACATCAAACTGACCTAGACCATTTTGCAAGATGTAAACAACACTGGTCCAGAAGCACTTCCTAGTTCAGTTTTTTAACACTACATAAAAGCTGGGATAAAATACAACCAACAGAACATATAAAACTGAATCAAAAAGTTAAACAAACATCTTTAAGATGTTTTCTTTACATGTGAAATAAAGAAAACAGTTACAAACTGAAACAGGAAGTGTTTCTGGACCAGTGTTTACATCTTGCAAAATGGTCTATAATGGAGACTTTTCTGCTGGAAATCCAGTTAAATACGCTAGATGTGTTTGGAACAGTGGTTTCTTTTCATTTTTTTTCTTCCGTTGTTTGCTGGTTTCTAGCGTGTCCAATTGATACAATTTTTCAGTTTATGAGCACAAAAAGTCTGCGGTGATAAACATTAACTTAAATGTTGGATTTTGTTATACAAATTGTTATACTTTCTTTCTCTGTCAGTGCACAGTTCTGCAGCCAGATGTTCCTCTAGCTGTGGTTGAGGAGATCTTACTGAACCTGCCTGAACATCAGGTGGTGCGAGCCTGTCGGCTGGTGTGTCGTGATTGGAAGGAGCTGGTGGACAGTGCTGCACACTGGAGAGAGCGCTGTCGGAGAGAGGGGATCCGGCCCTGTGATGCTTCCAGTCCCCCAGAGGACTGGCGCCGGTTTTACTTTACAACTAAGAAGAAACGGCGGAACATGCTCAAGAATCCCAGTGCTGATGGTGAGCCACATAATTAGGTCGAACATGTCAATATTAAAAAAAGAGAATGTTTTTTGCTTGTGGTTTTAATCTGATGTTCTTATTAGATGATCTTCAAGGATGGGAGATTGTACAGAATGGAGGTGACCGTTGGGCAGCCGAGGAAAATAGGAAACCATTTCCGGATGATGACACAGTCACCAAATGTTTTGTAACATCTTATGAGTATGTTTGATATTTTAGAATCTTGAAGAAAGTTGAATCAAACATGGAGCCAATCCACACATGAATTTCTCATAAACTTTGTCCTCAGGTTATGTTTGAAACGACAGCTGATTGATTTGACGGAAAAGGGTTATAATGGTGCTTTCATGGATCAACAGCAACCTTATATCAAAGTATCAGACTGGTGAGAGTCACTCAAACTTCCATTTCATGCTACAGTATTTTAGGTGTTGAATTTAATATTTTTTGTGAAAGACCTGTCCATCTGGGTCACATATGCCTTGTTGCAATATGTCAACATGATATTGATGTTTTTATTAATATTTTAAACCTGTAATTTTTACTATTATTGCAAAAATCTGTTATTGGTTAAAACAATTCAAAAGTTAAAACATAAAATATATTTTGAAAAATTGTTGTTGTTGTTTTTGACCCTGTTGACTTTCAAAACATTTTTTTTATGTTCCACAGTAAGGATAGCATAATTTTAATCTTTGGGTGAATTATTAATAATAATTCTCTTTGAGAACACAATACCTGTGTTAGGTACAAACCCATTTCTAAAATGGTAGCACAATTATGAAATGTTTTACTTGCAGGTATGCGCCACGCTTTGATTGTGGGTGTCAATATGAGGTCTGTGTAGAGTTGCTTGATGAGGAGAAAAAAATAATCAAATCCTTTCAGCCTGAAAAAGTTTTCTTTCAGCAGTGGAACGATGAGCCATGGTGTGAAGTAAGTAGAATAATACTTACAATTATTCTCCTGTTAACTAAAAGTCAAAGTCTGCATTTGTTTTTTGTTTATTTCAGATGACATACGTGTTTAAGGATTATGGACATGGGGTTCGGTTTATTCGTTTCACTCATGGAGGGGTGGATACACAGTTCTGGGCAGGCCATTATGGAATACGGGTCACTAACAGTAGCGTGGAGATCTGTCCTCTTGCAGAGAAATAGTGTCTTCCTGCATGTTTTTTTTCCTTTACTAGCGACCCCAATGGCAATTTTTTGAAAAAGTTCCCATTTATTCATGCTATAGTAAAAATCCCATATTTACAGTATACATGATTCATTTATGATGCACCTGGGTTGTCTATGAACAGGATAGATGCAAGATATAAGGAATATGCGGTGCATATTAGGTACACCAATATTCTAATCATATTTTATTTTCCAAGCACATTATATCAATTCCAAAACACATCAATCTTGATAACCACTAGTAATTTTGTATATAATCATTTATTGGTGAAAATGTGATATGTAATTGTTAACGAGGGCTCCAATTCAAAAAGGCCTCATATTCAGATGTACACATCGTTATTACGCAGGTTTTATTTTACCGATAATATGGGCCAAAAAAGATATTTAACTCGCACTAAACAAGTAAAAAAATATATTAAATGCCAAGAGAAGAATGCAAAACTATCGAAATTGCTAAATGAATGTGTGAAAATTTGACTGGAGATGCTCATTGGGGTCATAAGAAAAATTATCTTATCTAAAGTGTCTAATAAATGTTCCTTGTGACAAAACAGAAGATACTTATTGCTGAGACAGACATTATATGTTTTCTATTTTCAACCTAATACTGCAATGGTTTCATGAGGTGTGCATATGTCCGTCCCCTATAATATATATTTCTTAATAAGGTAGATAGAATAGGACATTGCAAATAATTAAGATGTAAACACATCTTAAATAAAACAAGGACTAAAAGAAATAAAAGAACATCGATATTAATAATTTTTTTTTTCTAATTATCACAGTTCTGGGCAACTCGAAGAAAAAAGAAAGAAAGAGAGGGTCTCTGCTGTTTCTGAAATTACCGTAATAAATGTAATACCTGGACACACATTTCTTTTATTTTTTTTGTTTGCCGGATGCAGTCATGTGACTAACTGGAATTGGATGTCTGAAAGAAGTAACGGTGGGTCAGCAGTACCAAAGAATGTCTAGGGCTCTGGTAGTACCAGTCTATGGGTAGTACCCGCGCCCACACGCGGTTCTTCTGCCAAACTATTCTCAAAAGCAGATTGACGTACAGTGTTGTATTATCATTGATTATGAGAGCGATGCTAGACATAACTAATGCGAAATTAGCTTGCTAGCTGCTAATGTGAACTGTTTTTAGTTGGTTTACTGTAATATCGTTCGTCTGTAAAACGTACTTTCTGTGGATGGATCCGTCAGAGAGCGATCATGTTGCTTGTTCGAGGGACTTTGAAAACAGTTCAGACACAGTAAGTTCTTTATATGTTATTCCGCCATTACTGGGACTCGGTTCCTTTTGTGTTCCCATGAAAGAATATTATCTTGCTGCCTTAAAATATTAAAGAGTTTCCAGACCTGGGTGGGACATTCTTGCGCTCCCGAACTGGCCAGGCTTATTGCGGAAATTTACATCAATGGACTAAATTTTCTGCTTGAAAATTTTTGTTGTTGTTGTTGTTGGAGCCATGGGGTTTTTGAGACATGGTGACCAACTGAAAACTATCAAACATGTCTCACAGCTGGATTTTTCAACAGCACTCAAAAAAAGGTAAGGTTAGAACTGAAAGATAATCTTTTTTCCACTGTCAGTGCACAGTTCTGCCACCAGATGTTCCTCTAGCTGTGGTTGAGGAGATCCTACTGAACTTGCCTGAACATCATGTGGTGCAAGTCTGTCGGCTGGTGTGTCGTGAGTGGAAGGAGCTGGTGGACAGTGCTGCACACTGGAGAGAGCGCTGTTGGAGAGAGGGGATCCGGCCCTGTGATGCTTCCAGACCCCCAGAGGACTGGCGCCTGTTTTACTTTTTAACTAAGAAACGACGGAACTTGCTCAAGAATCCCAGTGCTGATGGTAACCATGAGCCTAGTCAAGATTGTACAATACGTGTCTCTATAATGGTTTCTTTCTTAAGATATCTCTTTTCTGATGTTTTAATTAGATGGACTTCAAGGATGGGAGATTGAACAGAATGGGGATGGCTGCTGGGTGGCAGAAGAAAATAGAAAACTATTTCCAGACAACACTGTCACAAAATGTTTTTCATCATCACCTCGTTGGTATGTTTGATATTTTAGATATTTCAAGAATGTTTTGAGCTCATTTATTTTAAGTCAATGTTACAATATGAAAATAAGTCATCAAGCCAATCCACACATGAATCTCTCCTAAACTTTGTCCTCAGGTTATGTTTGAAGCAACAGCTGATTGATTTGACAGTAGAAGGTTATAGTGATGCTTTCATGGATCAACAGCAACCTCATATCAAAATATCAGACTGGTGAGAGTCACTCAAAATCCCATTACATGTTACAGTATTTTAGGTGTTGAGTTTCATATTTTATGTGATTAATTCTTGTGAATGACCATCTGGGTCACATTCTCCTTGATGCACTATATACATACTTGATGACCTCAACCCATGCCTTGCTCTGATTGGCTGGAGCTTATGACATCACTGAGGTTGAGTCATGTGACAGCTCTGGATATCTAGCATGCTAGATATTTTCTGGGCTTGGCGACGCGTCTACGAGCATCTTTGATGAGTTGTTGGCTCTTTCATACTAACAGATTGGCAAGCGTTCATCATCCGCTAATCCCCCGTGATTTGCACGCGATAACACCCTGACTTGTCGGCGAGCTCAAAGATTTGCAAATCGGGCTTAAAATCCTGTAGTGTGAACTTGGCTTAAGGAGTGGCTCCGTAAGAACCATCTCAAGGTCCTGGAGTGGCCTAGCCGGTCTCCAGACTTGAATGCAATATAAAATCTTTAGAGGGAGCTGAAAGTCCGTATTGCCTAGCAACAGCCCTGAAACCTGAAGGATCTGGAGAAGGTCTGTATTCCGGAGTGGGCCAAAATCCCTTCTACAGTGTGTGCCAACCTGGTCAAGAACTACAGGAAATGTATGAAATCTGTAATTGCAAATAAAGGTTTCTGTAACAAATATAAAGGTCTGATTTCTCATGTATCAAATACTTATGTCATGCAATAAAATGCAAATTAATTACTTAAATCATACAAAGTGATTTTCTGGATTTTTGTTTTAGATTCCTTTATAAAAGTATATTACAAAGTTTTCATTTAGACCCTGAACATTTATATTAACTAGTACAAAAAGGGCATTATCTGACTCCTTTAAAGAACAAGGTATCAATGTTAAATCAGGTTCTAAAATATGAAAACACAATTTCAGAACAGACCCATATCTCTTTGATGTCTTATCTGCAGGTATACCCCACATTCTGATTATCGAACTGAATATCGGATCTGTGTAGAGTTGCTTGATGAGAGGAAGAACCCCATCAGAACCTTTCAGCCTTATAAAGTTTTCATTAATCAAGGGGGCAGTTATCCATGGTGTCAAGTGAGTAAATGAATACTAACAGTGTTGTTATTCCCCTGTAATCAAACTAATAGTCATAGCTTAACTGTCCCTCTGTTCGTCCTGCTTTATTTCAGATGACCCACGTCTTTAAGGATTATGGACCTGGAGTTCGATTTATCCGTTTCACTCACGGTGGAAAGGATGGACAGTTCTGGAGAGGCTGCTATGGAATACGGGTCACTAACAGTAGCGTGGAGATCTGTCCTGCTGCAGAGAGGTACTGTTTTCCAGAATAATTTTTTTACATTCCTAAATTTAATATCAATCTAATAAATTATGTTATAAGGAGATATAGAGAGCCTAAGTCCCGCCCCTCCGCTTCCGGCTCATGGGACCTTATTTCGGAAAAAAATATGTGTGGTAGTCAATGGCGAGAGACAACTTTTTATTCCGTCTGAACTGTGCCCTGAATTACACATATGATGTTTGTCAATTTAAAAGATAATTCTGAAAGTCAAAAACGTCTCAGTTTGTCTTAAAACAGAAGAGTAACATTTAGTTTTATGTGAAAATCGTTCAGTTAACTACATCTCCCGGGAAGCAAAACAACGAGCAAGATCCGCTGCTTGTGTGTGTGCAGTCTGGTACAAAACACTCAGGCATGACGGCGTACCGTTGCGATTATAACATAAGACTATAGAAACAATGACAGACATTAGCCTCCGTAAAGTTAGCTTCATTCATTGAGAGAAAATGTGTGTCTTTGGGGTTTGTAGTCTTTGTAATTACATATTTTCACAGTCTTATACCTCAACGGTTTTACATCAAACTGCGACTTTCTTTACTTTAAAATGTATCCTTTAAATTGACAAACATCATGTGTGTAATTTAGGGCACAATTCAAACGACATCAAAATATTTGTTGTCTCTCGCCATTGACTACCATACAATATTTTTCCGAAATAAGGTCCCATCGTGGTCGACCGGAAGGGGAGGGACTTAGGCACTCTATTGACAAGTATGACATTACAAAGGTCTATTGTAAATGTATTCAGTTCTAATAATCATTGTTATATTACATTACATATAATAGGTCTGCCATCTAGACACCACCACAAGACAGTTTTACATAAGCAGATGGGGGTGGGGGGGCATGTACACATTTTTGGGGGGTGTTCCTCAAATAAAAAATATGAGTTTTCTCTCATAATTACTGTACCTTCAGAATATGAGACGTAACTTCTTTGTTTCCACCTGTAGGTTGAGATGCACAAAACCTAACTTGCTCAAGAATCCCAGCGCACAGGGTGACTCATATAATTAAGATTGTACAATAACAATTGTAAAAAAAATAAAAATATTTTAAAAAAAGTCCCTTTTCTGATATTCTTATCAGATGGACTTCATGGATGGAAGATTGTACGTAGTGGAGGTGACCACTGGGTGACGGAAGAAAATAGGAAACCACTTCTGGAAACAGTCACCAGATGTTTTATATCATCTTATGGGTTTGTTTGAATGTTCGGAAAAATTTTCAATCATCAAGCCAATCCACACATTAATAACTCGTAAACTTTGTCCTCAGGTTATGTTTGAAGCAACAGCTGATTGATTTGACGAAAGAAGGTTATAGTGGTGCTTTCATGGATCAACAGCAACCTCATATCAAAATATCAGACTGGTGAGAGTCACTCAAAATCCCATTTCATGCTAGAGTATCTAAGGAGGTGAATTTCATATTATATGTGATCATTTTTTTCACATGCTGGAACTGTGCCTGGCAGTATGAAAACCCAAAGTGATATGACGTTTATTTTTTTTTTAGTTTATTTTTTTGCCATCGGCCTATTATTTTGTCGATTATACTCTCCGATCCTGCTCCCACATCTCTTTTTAACATTGTTTCCTGTGAAGTCTCAATCGTTCTACAAAATAAAGGCAAAAGTGTCAAAAATAAATCTTATTTCTGTATGTAAAAATGAATTAAAATGTCATTAAAGGTATAGTTAACCTAAAAATACAAAAATTCTGTCATCATTCACTTAACCTCCTGTCGTTCCAAACCTGTGTGACCATATATCTTGTGTGAAACATAAAAGAAATATTTTGAAAGTGTTTTTTTTTTTGTCCATACAATGAAAGTCAAAGGGAAAGTCATTATCCAACTTTCAAAACATAATTTTTGTTCTTCAGAATAAAGAAATTGATATAAGTTTGGAACGACTTGATGGTGAGTAAATGATGACAGAATTTTCATTTTTAGGTGAACTATCCCTTTAAGAATACACTACTAGCATTTGGCACAAATCAGGTTTTAATATGAAAGGCCACTTTGTTAACAGGAAGACTTTTATTTGCTGTTTGTCTGGTGCAGGTATGCCCCAATCTCTTGTTGTGGAAGTGAGTATCAGATCTGTGTAAAGTTGCTTGATCAGTGGAAAAAACCCATCAGAACCTTTCAGCCTGAGAAAGTTATATTTTCGTATGGGAACGATGAGCCGTGGTGTCAAGTGAGTGGAATAATACAGAGAGTCCAGTTATTCCCTTGGAATCAAACTAATAATCAAAGCTAAACTGTCCCTCTGTTCGTCCTGCTTTATTTCAGATGACCCACATCTTTAGGGATTATGGACCTGGAGTTCGGTTTATCTGTTTCACTCACGGTGGGATGGATACCCAGTTCTGGGCAGGCCATTATGGAGTACGGGTCACTAACAGTAGCGTGGAGATCTATTCCGCTGATGACGGGTAATGTTTTTCAGCATTATTATTTATTTTACTCTAAAACATATTTTATAATTTTAGCAATTCATTATTTTTTATCAAAATGCACAACGCAAATACATGTTTTATGTATGCATATCAGTGCAAATGTTAACTATTTCCGATCCGCCCACTTGAAACCAGCATCAAGCATTGGGCTTAATGACCACAGCCTATAGCGTCAGCTGTTGGTATGCCTCTTAAGGCCAGGGGAGTGAGGTATATTTACAGCTAATTATACTTTACAAACCAATCAAAGCCACTCATTAATTTTATTTTTCTCTGACCAGAGCTTATGAAAATAATTTTAAGGAATTTCTAAACTTTAAAAAGAGTGTAATAAATAAAAGTAACAATAATAATAGTTTGATTTTTTTTTTTTAATTATAGTAATAATAAAAGTATTTAGAAAATGCACTAACATTCATATTTACCATACTGTATTTCATATGTTCAAATGACAGAGGGGTTGGCAGCTGAACCCACTCATTGCACCAACACTGAATGACAGAGAGAAATATCATACACGTTATCAAATCAAATGTATTTTGTTTGTTTGTTTTACCTTTATTGTCTGTTCAGATTAACTGGACAGAAATTCATCTTTGATACTGGCTTCAACAACATTCTACAACCACATTTAACACATAAAACACATAATACACCCCTAATAATTAATAAATACATGATTCAATAAAAATACAGTGCACATAATTCACAATAACATCCCTAATTGAGAATTTGGTTTAAAACAGTCACTGCCAATGGGACAAATGATCTTTTAAAAATATTCTTCCTAGCATACGGTGTACGTAGCCTGCGACCCGAAGGGAGGACTTCAAAGCATGAGTGGAGAGGATGAGTCTGATCTGAAAACACAGCTAGCGCCTTTTTCTCCATAAAATTTGAGAATAGTTCTTGTAGTGTGCTCTGTTTATGGCCGATAATCTTGTTTGCCTCATTTATTACGCGTGTTAATTTATTCTTTAATTTCATTGTTAAATTTCCATACCATGAGACAATATTATAAGTTATAATGCTTTCAATCATCGATCTATATACAATGGTTAAGATCCTCTTTTCGATGTCAAGGTTTCGCAACTTTCTAAGTAGGCTTAAGCGCTGTCTTGCTTTCGTATGTACGTGGTTCACATTATCCAAAAACAAAAGTTTATCGTCAATGATTGTGCCTAAATATTTAAAATTTTTAACTTGCTCAATCTTTACACCTTTTATAGTTACTTCTTCATATTGGAGGACACCTGTACATTTCTTATTCTGATTCCCACAGCATAATTCCTTTGTCTTCCCAGTGTTCAACCGTAAACAACTATTGTCACACCATTGTACAAGGCTTTCGATATACTCAAAGTAGGTGGGACAGTTCTTTTCTGTTTGGCACGAAATTAAAACCAAATCATCTGCATATTTAATCAACGTAAGATCATCAATGTTACACTTAAGTTCATTAGTATAAACAGAAAAGAGCAAAGGCGATAATACACATCCCTGAGGTAATCCAGAATGTAGGACTATGTAGTCAGATAAAATTCCGTTAACACGGACTCTTATAGGAAGTTAGGTTACTCGTATAACCTAACTTCTCAAAATGGGTGATGAGTCTCTAGGGCTAGACTATCTTTGGTATGTCTAGTTGTACCATAATACATTTCCCATAACATGTCCTGTCCTACTGCAGCCTTATTGCATTTCTCAGAGTTGTGGGAGGGGCTTTGATTGCATTAACAATCACTCTGTTCTATATTGTCGATAAACAGTAAACACGTGATCCCTAAGAATCCTAAATCCTAATTCAGCAATTTTGGAAGTCCAGAATCCTGTGACTATTGGGATATCTAAACCATCAAGCAGTATACTATACGTATATAATGGATCAGCTCTGACAGCATGAACCAGTAGTGAGTCGTCAAGACGCTCCTCTGCGAGATATATTTCAGTTTTTCAGAAGCAGATTAGAGTCCTACTGCAGTAAATTAGAAGAGCGATGTTTGACATAAAACTAATGCGAAAGTAGCTTCTATTATTTGTGTTTCAGTTGGTTTACTGTAATATCATCAAAATGGGCAACATGCAGTAACTTCTGTGTTTCCACCTGCAGGTTCAGTCTCACTAATCGTAACTTGCTCAAGAATCCCAGTGCACAAAGTGAGCCACGTCATTTAGATTGTACAATATATGTGACTATAATTTTTGCTTCAGCGAACATCTCTTTTCTGATGTTTTAATTAGATGGACTTCAAGGATGGGAGATTGTACATGATGGAGGTGACCACTGGGTGACAGGAGGAAATAGGCAGATATTTCCAGTCAGAAGATGTTTTGTAACGTCACATGGGTATGTTTGATAATGTAGATCCTTCAGCTCATTTAATTTCAGTATATGTAACAATGTGAAAATAAATAGATCATGAACCCAATCCACACATGGATCACTCAAACTTTGTCCTCAGGTTATGTTTGAAGCAACAGCTGATTGATTTGACAGAAGAAGGTTATAGTGGTGCTTTCATGGATCAACAGCAACCTCATATCAAAATATCAGACTGGTGAGAGTCAATCAAAATCCCATTTCATGCTACAGTATCTAAGGAGGTGAATTTCATATTTTATGCGATTAATTCTTGTAAATGACCTGTCCATTTGGGTCACATATGCCTTATGCTGGAATTGTGCCTGGCAGTATGAGAATCCAAGCTGAATGACAATCATATTTAAAAAATATATATATTTGTAATTCATTTTATCGTTGAATCTGCATAAGCTTTGACACAAATGGTGCACTTAAGCTTCAGGTAACCCAAGATCAAGTCCTGGCTCGTGGGACTTTGGGACCACTCCTGTTCCCTCCTCTCTCTTCAACATTGTTTTCTGTCAAGTCTCTACTGTCCTTCACAACAGAGTAAAAAATAACTAAACAAAACAACACACACTTAGGACATAATTTAATTTAAATATCATTAAATGGATAGTTCACCTCATGTGAGAGATCGTGTGCGTCTGCAGCTGATTATGGATTGCTCGTCTTCCTCGGTCAGAAGGAATAGGCAAATCCAATGGTGCACACAGCACTCATACACACAAGATTAGCGCAGGATTAACAAAGGATGCACCGTGAATACTTCTCTCATGGCACTGGACCACATGCTGGACGGACCACACCAAAGCGAAAGCGCCTAGCGCAACCATGAGCGATCGCAACTACAAACGAACACATGCATTATGTGTAACGTAGTCTATGTGAGGGCAAGGACTTGTAACACCTCTTGCCATCCCAAATCTGTGTGACTTTTTGTGTTATGTGGACCACAAAAGGAGATTTTGAAAAATCTCTGGTTTTTATTCATAAAATAGTCTATGCTGTCCAATGTTGGAATCAAATTGGAATCATCGACGTTTAAAACGCCTCCTTTTGTGTTCCACAGAAGATATAAAGTCACAGAGGTTTGAAACGAGGATGGTGAGTAAATGATGATGGTTTTATTTTTAGGTGAACTATCCCTTTAAGAACACAGTACCAATGTTAAATCAGGTTCTAATATGAAAACACAAATATTTGATTTTGAACAGAACCACATTTCTGTGATGTCTTAACTGCAGGTATACCCCACATTCTGATTGTGGAAGTGAATATCAGATCTGTGTAGAGTTGCTTGATGACAAGAAGAAACCCATCAGTACCTTTCAGCCTGAGAAAGTTTACTTTCAAAAGGGAAAAATGTATCCATGGTGTCAAGTGAGTAGAAAAAGTAGAATAACAGACAGTCCAGTTAGTCCTCTGTAAACATAATAATAATAAAAGTGTAACTGTCCCTGTGTTCATTCCGCTTTGTTTCAGATGGCACACGTCTTTATGGATTATGGACCTGGAGTTCGGTTTATCCGTTTCACACATGGCGGGAAGGATACACAATTTTGGAAAGGCCAGAATGGAATACAGGTCACGAACAGTAGCGTGGAGATCTATCCAGTCTGATGCTACAGAGTGTTTTCCACATGTTTTTATTATTATTTTACTTTTTTACATTCCTACATTTAACAGGTGCAAAAGTGACCTTGAAATTGGGAATTGTAATGATACATTATGCCATAAGGATATAAATCAAATATGTATCAAATACAATATAATGTTTATATCTTAGAATATGTCAGTGCCGTTGTTTTGTCTCAAGATGCACACCAGAATTGTTTTTTTCTAAGACTTTATAGAGTTTATAATGCTCTAATTGAATTAAGGCCTAATCCTGAGATATATATGTTATACTGTTAAAATGAAGGAACTTAGTAGACGACTATAACTACAGCCGTAGACATGCAATGACTGCTTATGAAATAAATTGCTTCAGTGCCATACAGTTACAGCCAATAAATGTCTCAAAGTTATTGTGTGTAAATGATGTTATGTTCAACATTAAAGCTTTGAACTTATAAATGTACATTGATGCTTGATTATGAAATAAAAGTTGAAGGTCTGGGGCTTAAAGGAGACATATCTCCTTCAAGGTTTGCTCTACATGCCTGTTGTTATATTCTAATAGTCTAGTTATCTCTATGGTGATATTTACTTGTTTCATTTATTATTATGCGTTCCTGACCGCATACTCAAACATTTGTACTTGTATGTACTTTAGTCATAACAACTTGTCACAGTTAGGTCCAGATGATAATGAAGGAAAATTGTCCAAAACCTACTTTTGCAAACTAGTCCCTGGATTTTTGTCCCATTGGAACCAAATCGGTCTAGGTCTATTCTCTGGACTCTCTAGATAAATAATTATTGAAGAGAAGTTGAAATTTTGCTTTTGGTTAGCTGTAACAGGGTCATTTAGATAGTGGTCAGTGGCAAAATACAGTCAAAAATCTATAAATGCCAAAGGAAAAGTCAGAACTTCATTGTTCATTTGAAATGATTCGAGCTTTGTGACATGGTGCATTACCCTGCTGGAAGTAGCCATCAGAGATTGGGTACATGGCGGCCATAAAGGGAAAGTAGCTTCTATTATTTGTGTTTCAGTTGGTTTACTTTAATATCATCCAAATGGGCGACATAACTTCTGTGTTTCCACTTGCAGGTTCAGTCTCTCTAACTTGCTCAAGAATCCCAGTGCACAAAGTGAGACATGGTCAGACTCAGAAACAATGCTCAGGTAGGCTGTGGCCTTTAAACAATGCCCAACTGGCACTAAGGGGTCTAAATGGTGCCAAGAAAACATACCCCAAACCATTACACCACCACCAGCAGCCTGCACAGTGGTAACAAGGCATGATGGATCCATGTTCTCATTCTGTTTACGCCAAATTCTGATTCTACCATCTGATACCCCTTTTCCACCAAGAACCAGGTGCTGGTTCTAGTGCCGGTTCGACTGATGAGCTTTCAAAGAACCGGTTTGCCTTTCCACAGGCTAGAGAGCCATCACAGAGCCAGATCTTTATATCTCAATGTATAGATCTCATGTTGCTCAACAACGCTAGCGCGGCACACACTAACACACAAGGCTTGTTCGAGATGGTTCGGCACTGCGAATCTCGAACTGCGAGAGAGATCCAAAAGCAGAAGGAATCGTATGCTCTCCAAACACTACCGCAGCTCTGATATGTCTACGCCGCTCCGATGCATCTCGAACAAGCCTTCCATCAACAATGGCGGTCGTTGCGTTACTATTTAGGCTCATGGCTTTGCAAACCTACACCGGTATCCAAACAGCGAATCCAGCACGTTCGTGCATACTCGGACCGGCCCGTCTGGCACCAACAACCATGTCACGCTCAAAATTGCTTTAATCATCACCTTTCTTTCTCATTCTGACATTCAGTTTGGAGTTCAGGAGATTGTCTTGACCAGGACCACACACCTAAATGCATTGAAGCAACTGCCATGTGATTGGTTGAGTAAATAATTGCAATAATGAGAAATTGAACCGCTGTTATTCTTTTCAAATGTGTCTGTCCATTAGAATGGACAGGGTTCGAAAGCCTGTTACTGAAATCACATGTCCAGTAATTCTGACTGAAATTTCTTATATAGGCTATAAAAAATGGATATCACACCGATACATTTTTGAAACTTTTTCATATGCAGAAAATACAGTTCTTAACTTCTTGAAGTGCTTGAACATATAGCTGATGGAAAGATCTCAGATGTTGACTGTATGTGTGGAGTGATGAGGAAGATGGAGATATAATAAAAATATCAGTATTTAAAACTTCACAAAATAAAATAACTATCTTCCGGGCCGGCCGAACGAACAACCGGATTTGACTTAAATTTGCACAACTTGAATATGAATATTTTTTTATATATTATTTTTTATTTATTTATTTATTTTTTTGCACATTTATGATGGATAGATGCACTTTTATGAACTTTCAAAAAAGAAACAACCATTCACAGCCATTATAAAACTTGGAAGGGCCAGGACATTTTTTTAATATAACTTTAACTCCGATTGTATTCGTCTCAAAGAAGAATATCATATACATCTCCTAAAGAGGTTGAAAAACGCATACTGGCTCTGCCCCATGGTATTCCCGTTAGAAAACGCCCTTGTTCCGCAGAAACCTCATGAGCACCCGTATGCATGCGTCATAGTTGTGGGCGGGGATATGACGCTCGAACTTTCGATTTGGAATGAATCTCGTGAAACGTGATTAAAACGATTCCGATTAAGCGGCGTATGAAGTCTAGAATGCTGCTACATGTGACTAATGAGAAATCTATTCTGGAAAGAAGTACCGGATCAGTTGACAGGGTCAGCCGGTAGAGTGAGTCGTCACGCTCCACTGCCAGATATATAGTTATAGTGCAGTTTACCACAAGCAGATTAGAGTCCTGCTGCAAGAGGACAGAAATCGGTCTGACATATAACTAATGCGAAAGTGGCTAACGTTACTATTATTTTAATTGTCTTTTTCTTTGTAACATTGTCAGACTTTGAAACGTAACTTCCGTTTTTGAAGGTTCAAACGCGCAAAAGTGACTTAATTTAAAAAAAATAAATAAATCAAGGATGGGTCATTCACACTCGGTAAGTTTTTGAGTTCTTGGTTCAGTAATAGCCAGTTGAATAGAGAATTAGCATCATATTGTAACTTGGCCATACAATGTTGTCTGACATGTCTTATGATAAGTCGACTCTTTGTGGACCAGCAATAAACCATGGTCATGCCATCTTAAAATGGAGGTGGAACATGGTAGCAGATGATCAACAACCATGTTCCACAGCTGGATCTAAATTGAAAGGTAATCTTTTTTTTGCTCTGTCAGTGCACAGTTCTGCCACCAGATATTCCTCTAGCTGTGGTTGAAGAGATTCTACTGAACCTGCCTGAACATCAGGTGGTGCGAGTCTGTCGGCTGGTGTGTCGTGAGTGGAAGGAGCTGGTGGACAGTGCTGCACACTGGAAAGAGCGCTGTCGGAGAGAGGGGATCCAGCCCTGTGATGCTTCCAGACCCCCAAAGGATTGGCGCCTGTTTTACTTTATATCTAAGAAACAACGTAACTTGCTCAAGAATCCCAGAGCAGAAGGTGAGCCACTGGACTGATAGTGTTTTAATAAAGCAGTGCACTTCACATTCTGGGCTGTTTCTCAAAAGTCTCATGAACCTAAGCTGATCATAGAGACCATATGGTGCCACTAACAATGGTTTTCTGTATGCTTTTTGGAAACGCAGAAGGTTTAACAACGTAAAGAAGTTGGTTGCTTGACCATTTAAAAATTGCTTTTTCTTTTTTTTTTGAGTGATTACTTCTGAATTGGTATTGTAAAAAAATATTTTTTCCTATTATACTTATGTGGTTGGTTTAACAAATGTTGGTTAAACAGACGTTTATGAATACCTCAATATTTGGAACAAATACTGATCTTTAGACTAGAGCACATTTCAAGGTACATGTACATGCAGAAATGGCAAACTTCCGAGAGGGACCTATAAGTCCTAAAAAATTATTTACTCAGGTTTAAATGATTCCAAGCCCCCTTTGTGCAAGATAATATTCAAAGAAGACTCTTATGTCTATTGGCTTATATGAATGTCTGGTACGTGTGTTGTAATAAAAAATAAAATAAAACATTAACACTATTCATTTGCCACTAATGTCACTTGCTCCTAACGTTCTCCTCTCTGTTGGTCTGATTAGATGAGTTCAAAGGATGGAAGATTGTACAGAACGGTGGTGACTGCTGGGGAATAGAAAATAATTCTGTACAAATCTCAAATAACACAGTTCCAAAATGCTTTGTCACCTCTTACAGGTAAGTTTGATATGACTGTTCTTCAGTTTAATGTTCAAACTGAAATTATTTGCATTAAAATACAATTATCATTCAGTTTAACCAATATGACAATAGATGAGTCGGAGGCCTTTTTTGACACCTATAATCTTTGTCCTCAAGGTTATGTTTGAAGCAACAGCTGATTGATTTGAAGAAAGAAGGTTATAATGCTGCTTTAATGGATCAGCATCAACCTCATATCAAAATATCAGACTGGTGAGTGTTTGTTCAAACTCCCATGTTATGTTAACATATCAGTGGTTTATTTATTATACTAACTGAAGTACAATAAAGTATAATTTTCAAATGTTTTGTCTGCTGCAGGTATGCCCAGCGCTGCGATTGTGGGTGTGAGTATCAGATCTGTGTAGAGTTGCTTGATCAGAAGATGACACCCATCTATATGTTTGAGCCTGAACCAGTTTTCTTTAAACAGTGGAATGATACGAAGTGGTGTGAAGTGAGTAGAGGGAAATAAAATTAACAATCACATTTAATTAAATAACTGTCTCTCTCTCTCTTTATATATATATTTATATATATATATATATATATATATTGTATCATTATTTATTTATTTTTTTCAGATGACCTACGTCTTTAAGGATTATGGACCTGGAGTTCGGTTTATCCGTTTCACTCACGGTGGGAAGGATACCCAGTTCTGGGCAGGCCATTATGGAATACGGGTCACTAATAGTAGCGTGGAGATCTGTCCTGCAATGTTGGGTGGGAGTCCACCTTATTCGAGTCCAGAGATCTGTCCCGCAATGTTGCGTTGGAGACCACGTTATTTGAGTCCACGTCTAGTCAAAAAGAGAGTCAAGAACTAAATATTACTTCATCATTAAGTCAATATCTTAGGCTTGTTTTAAGCACGTATTTTTATTTCACATCTTCTCATTAATAGTATCCTGCTGAGCAAACTATAAGTTGTGTAGGCTAATGGAAGTAATGGCCGATTTCTGTATTGGGACATTTCTGAGTAACGGCTTTTCTGATGTGAAAAACTATAGAGCGAGACTTGACTGTATCATCGATATAAATTCAACTGGTAACTAACCATGTTACTTTTAGTAATGGCGTGGAAACAATGGGAAAAAAAAGCAATGGAAACAGCGTATTGGGATATGAAAAGATGAAAATGCATTCCGGTGTTATGCGCCATTTCAGACAGCTTGCAAGGACCAAATTCAGTTATCTTCCACGTCTTATTGAGTTTGAACAATTGATAAATCACTTGAATGTTTAAACTACAAGACCGAAGAACATATGCACGAATTTCAACGACAGCTCTGGACTTTTTTCGAGTCCCGACGAATTGAGCCAGAGTCAAGTCCAAGTAAAAATGCTTTAGAGTCTGTGACAAGTGCAAGCAAGACTCAAGTACCTCAACTCTGTTTGAATGTGTTGTCTGTTATGAGAAACACTGTTCTATGTAAGGGTGAACTTAAAAAAGCCTTAAGAAAATTAGGTGCATCTCTAATTGTTGTACATGAAGATGAAGATTGTCATGTATGTATTTATTTTTGCACAATATATATAAATGAGTATTTGGCTGTTTATATTTAAAAAGGCCTCTTGGTCTTCCTTTCTTAATTATCTAGGCCACCTTATTATCTCCCAAACACTGTGTTACAGTGAGACTGAGTACCTTGCTTGACAACTCATTCATGTTTAAGGAGGGCCTTCATTAAGAACTTGAGTTTCAGACATGTTTCCATAACATGAATTTATCTCTATTGATAATAATAATTCGATACATTTATATAACGCTTTTCACAGCATTCAAAGTGCTTTACATAGATGGGGGGAATCTCCTCAAACACCACCAATGTGCAGCATCCTCCTGGATAATGCGACGGCAGCCATATTGCAACAGAACGCCCACCACACAGTGACAAAGCCAATCAGTAAAAACACTCACCTAAATGAAGTGTTGGCCCATATTGATAGGACAGCATCTCGCAGTTTGTGGGAAGCACATCCAGGGCACAAAGCTCCCGTTCCACCACATCCCAAAAATGCTCTAATGGGTTTGTCAGCCCATTCTCCTCCGACATTTTCGCCCACAGGACTTCCGCATACTGAATGTTTTTCCCTTTTCCCACCGTTCTTTGTAAACCCTAGAAATGGGTGTGGTGAAAATCCCAGTAACTGAGCAGATTGTGAATTACTCTGGCCTGTTTGGAACCAACAACCATGCCATGCTCAAAATCACCTTTCTTTCCCATTCTGACATTCAGTTTGGAGTTCAGGAGATTGTCTTCACCTGGACCACACCTCTAAATGCGTTGAAGCAACTGCCATGTGATTGGTTGATTAGATAATTGCATTAATGAGACATTGAACAGGTGTTCCTAATAATCCTTTAGGTGGGTGTATTTGGGGATGATTAGGAGGCCATGAGGGGTAGAGGCCAATGGCCAAATTTGGACACGATGTCAGGGTTACACCCCTACTTTTTAATTACCACAGTGAATCAGGACCTCGGTTTATCATCTCATTCAAAGGACAGTGCTTGTTACAGTAGTGTCCCTGTCACTAAGGCTAACACGGAAACGATTCTGAAGAGAAAACGCAAAAGTGGCGTTGCGTCATCACTTTTTATTCTGCGTTTAGACGAGCGTTTTGTGTGGGAAATCCGCGTGCAAATGGTGACGCAAAAGTGTGTGAAATTCAATGTAGTATGCACTTCAGGTGGCTGGAGTGCATACTAAAACAACACCAAGTCCACCCGCCTGCGTACAACTTTCACCGTCAAGCAGACTTTTGCGTTTTTACCGTTTACACGGGAACGCGGCGGTGGCGCGTTTTTAAGATTTCCACTCTGGAGGGTGGTTTCACTTTTTTTTGCGTTTTTAAGCCTCAAAAACGCCGTCGCCGTGTAAACGAAAGGCACATCCGATAAAATATTTTTACGTTTTCACCCGCGAGCATTCTCGTGTAAACAGGGCCAGGGCCTGAACCGGGGTGTTCGGATCCACACAGACCATAGAGTGAGCGCCCCCTGCTGTCCTCACTAACACCTCCCCCAGCAGCAACCTAAGTCTCCCATCCATGTAGTGACCAGGCTCAACCCTGCTTAGTTTCAGACTTGGGCTACAAGGTCACATTGTCACTATTGAATTTAATATGTATAATTGCATATATAAATGAAGCAGCGGGAAAGACACATCACTGCTTTCATGTGAGCATTTTTTTTTAAATTGACATGTTTGACAAAAAAAAAAAAAAGAGAGAAAAGGTGATTTTTGACCATTTTCCCCTTGCTAAATGCTAAAGTTTATTCTAGTCTAAAAATATATTGCATACTTTTTGGTACAGTGGCAATGTATAAAACCATGTAGGCCTATATTTTTTAAAATACTCCAAATCACAGGTTTAAGTATTTTTTTTTAGAAAGTGTGAATAATGTGCAGCAAGAGCTTTCTGTAGGCTATAAATATTTTTTAAATAAACATTTCTCAGATATTATCCAATGACTCAACTTGACATTGTTTTAAAGAAGTCATATTCGTATGGATCTATGACAGATATCCACACATATAAATTGGCCTATTTTACTCCTATTTACTAAACATTTCTCCTCTTATTATTTGGCAACTTAAATAAAAGTGGCACATCTTACCCCACCAGCCTACCATACCAACCTTTTTGTTAAGAAGAGTGTTTTAGTATCACAAATGAGAGTTGTATGTGTAAAAGCTGCACACATATCTAATCATGGGACATGGGCACCATGGTTGCTATTGTTACTTTCCTGATAAAAAAAAAAAAAAAAGAAAATCTGTTGGTTTATGTCCAAATTCATGTGTTCAGCTCATAAAATAACACATTTGCATGTCTTCTTGGACCCTCTGGGCTTTAAAGCTGTTAATATCGCCTCATCAAATACGTTCTTCAGTCCTTTCTGTAATGAAGGGAAAAAGCGAATCTCTTTGTTATGCTAATAAAGCGAAAGCACGACTTTAGAAACAGAACATACTCAACAAGCATACCCACCTGTGTTAGAGCAGAGCATTCAACATATTTCACAGCCTTTAAGTCTTTGGCTAGTTTTTGGGCTGTCTCTGGGTTGATTGGATTTTGTTTGTTTTTTGCAAGCCTTGCAATAGTTATAGGATCGTCTCTTAGGTCAATCTGCGTTCCAACCAGCAGAAAGGGGGTTTTCGGGGAGTAATAGGTTATCTCAGGCACCCACTGCATTTTAAATGAATTGTTGTTAGCAAAAAAATAAAATGATTCCACATTACTGACAGATCACAGACAGACTCACCTTTTCTTTCACATTTTCAAACGAGGAAAGAGAAACTACAGAGAAACACACTAAGAAGACATCTGTTTGGGGATAGCTTAGGGGCCGGAATTGATCCTGACCTACAAAATAGTTAAATACTTAGGTTTGTGAGTTTTGCAAATTGTGTTCATTTGAAATATGTTTAAGATATGACCCACAGTGTATTATAAATTGATGGATTATTGTCATTATCATCATATACCTGCAGCATCAAACAATCTAATAGAATATGGTTCACCACCAATCATTACAGTCACAGCTTGGCTGTCAAACACCTGAAAAAGAACATGACAAAGCAACTGAATTGACAGTACCTTGACAGGATTATTTCCATGAGTAATGCAACTGATGGGATTTAACGGTCTATACAGCTGTTATCACTAATAATTTGTACAAATGTTGTATATTCTTTTTCAAGCTGGTAGACAGGAACATATCAATTAAAAAAAAAAGTCAATTTCTTACTGTCGGTTCTGATGGGAACTTGTTTGTAAATGAAACCAAAAGGCAGGTTTTACCAACGGCACCATCTCCAACCACCATACATTTAATTGAAGACATTGCTGTTGTCAAAAGTTGCTTTCCAGCATCTGGCATCAAAGAATCTGTAATTCATAACAAATGCCATTAATTTACAGAGAGGGTTAGGATACATGTCAATAGAGAGAAAAAAGTTTTGATTGTGAATTTGTGCTTCCTATAAAATACTTGAAAGCAAAACGCCATCTTGGTATAAATGTCTTGAATTTATAAGCCACACGTTTTTTCTTCCTTCTTCCACAAAAGCTCTGCTAAGATTCAAATAATTGTGTGAATATTTATTCTGATTTTATAATGCGACAGGTGGGTTATTTTCAAAATATTGAGACTAACTCTACTATATTCACTCATGAAAAGTAATCTTCCAGTTTCAGTGATCAAGTATTTAAGAAATCTTACAGAAAAGGATTTACTTACATTTTTTGTTAAATATATGAATTATTCAACCCAGGGAACTAAAATATACATTTCATTATATAACGATTTAAAAGATAATTTGTTAGGAATGTTAGGACAATAAAAGAAAATGACCTGTTTCACATATTTTGCCATGTCCCAGGCTGAAAATATTGGGTTTCATGTATTTATTTTAGTTTGACCAGCATGTTTTGAGATGCCATGCATGTCTTCTCTTAAAATAATATTTTATAAGAATGTCACGGGTGTTTTTATTCTTTTGTGAATATAAATAACTTTCAATGAATAAAATAAAAACAGTAAAGTTGTATTTTATTAGTAATCATTCCAGGATGCTAATACTTACCATCAGTTTTAATCTATAAAAGTGGTCTTAACTCAAAACTTCTAACATTGTTTTAAGTTGCGAACATTTTGATAATGACACACCAACATAAGCATGACTTCTAAATGAAACGTCTTCAGTAAGAACTCTTAAAGCATAGCACGTGTAATACAAGACAGTGACCAAATTTTGACATTATGATAGATACCTAGTTTCTTAACAGCCTGATGAAACATGTTTAAACAACAGATGAACTTGTCTACTGTTAACTATGTAAACATTTCACACATGGTACTGCTCTTTACTTCTACTACAAGCATTGTAACGGTGCTGTCCATCTAAAACAGGACTCTACCAAACACACTTCAAAATAAAAGTCTCTTTTTTTATGTCATGTAAAGCCTTAGCAAGTAACTCGTTTTAAGACTTTAAAATTTACGTTTTAAATACCATCCGAATAATGCACATCATTAATAAAAGTGTCAAAAGAAAAATAGATTTGAGCAAAAATGAAGGTGATATAAAACTAAGGTAAAAAAAAAAAATAGTCTGTGGTGAATTCTGTTGTTTTCTCTTATCTGACATTTGATGATACTCATTCTAAACTCAGTTACAGGTTTATATCTAGTTATAGGCTAAGACATCATAGTGACAATTTCCATTAATTGATTAAATAAACATATTTAATATAAATGGAACAACACTTTACTTATTTTAAATAAGTAAAAAAACAAAAAAAACACTCAAAAACAAAAAACAAAAACATTTCCAGGGGAAACCAGTTCAAATAAATAACAGCCTGAATAAATGATAAGTTCATTTTGATCACTGCAAACCTAATTTCAGTTCTAAATAATACAAAGGTCTAGTATCTCGTCACTTCACAGAGCACTACACACATTTAAGTTTATTACTTTTTAAAGATGTAAAACAATAAAAAATAAACTATAGTTTCCCTGAGTCTTTTTACTCTAAAAGAGAAAGATGAAAAGTGCACCATAAACTTCAATTCATTTCAAGAGTACTTAGTCACAAGCAAAGTAATCCTTTAGTGGTGCTAAAAGATGTCTTATGACAGGGACACTCCAGGACTTCCCCAGCACTCTCTGCCTCTGCATACGCCCCATATTTTTCACGTCTGTGTAATGCTTTGGAAATCCAAATATCCTGTCAAATTGCAAGTGAAGAGTGCATGATCATGAATCAAATACATATGTGTGACTGAATTTGAAAAGATTATAAAACTAAAAGGATAGAATAAGTAAAAGTTACTTCTCCAATTCAGTGATCCACAAACTGTCATCTTTTCCATTCATGATGATGGGGTAATGCCTGTCATCGACGCCTGGTTTCTGTATGTTTGGTCGTGTGGTGATAGTGCGAACCTTTTCATACTGCAAAATGGTAGATTACATAGAGTCAGAACTCACATGGACAACACTGAAACAGTTAAGTGTAATGGGATCATTAAAATATCTATGGCTGTAATGACAAACCTTTGCAGTGCGGCCGGCCTCCAGACATTCCTGAAGACTGACTTTATCTTTCTGAGATGCTGTGATTGGTCTGGTCAAAACAAAAGAAAAAACTAGTCCCGGACTAAAATGCATGTTTGAGCTGTTTAAAATGAGATATGTCAGTGCTATTGTTTTAACTCAAGATGCACAATAGAGATCCACCGACACTATATATCTCTGTCGATACCGATAGACGATTGTTCAGAATGATATTCGCTGAAGCCGATGGTTAGATTTTTCTTAAGGAAAAAAAAATCCCAGAAAATGCTGCAAACTATACAGGGAACCCTCTAATTTGGTACACTATAATATTCAAGATTAAAATTAACAGCCGAGCTATTATATTCAACTGATACTTATTTTCAGATATAATATTCACTCTTAAATAAAATCTGAAAAGCTTGTAAATTACTCAGTTGCACAACAGGTAGTTTTCATAAACACTTCATGGCAAATTTATTCAAACATCCATATATAACTAACAGTAAATGAGCTGTTCTCTGGTGTTTTTATAGCTAACTAACGGACTGTCAACACTGGTTATCTTTCCTGAGATAATGCAACATTAAGTGATATTGTTCACACACTGCTGCTTGAACTGAAGTGCTACAGCGATCTGTCACGTCATATTTAAGAGCGTCAAATGTTTTAATTTCATGATAAAAATGCACATAATTTGAAAGCTGAGACTGTTTCTTATCAAAAGTAACAAAAACCTTAGATCTGGCAACCCTGGCTTGAACTACGTTTGATTCATCAGGTCAAAGCCTGCATTACCATTGCTATTTTTTACCTGTTAAAGCGTTATTGTCATGTTAACTTACCCAAAAAAAGTGAAAAGACTTTTAAGTGGGTGTGATAGTCATATGAATAACAGACTCACCTGTTCATCCCAGGTATGTTCCCCCAGAAGTATCTTGCTCTGTAAGCTGGACTCACTTTCACAGCATCAACAAGCACAGGGTTACACTAAAAAACAAAACACACACGTTTATTACACCATGTGACCAGAAAAAAAATAACACTGACAATGCGAGGCCACGATTTGAGATGTCAGTTTTGCACACGTTTTTTAAATTGACAAGAATCTGCAGAGGGTATTTGACTCACCGAACAGGTTCAAACAGCAATACCACAAAACAAATTCACACTTACTTCCAGAAAGCGGCAAATGTCCGCTTTAACCTTGTTTTCCATCGACACCACGTTCTCAAACAGCCAGAAGAACGGCCGTGGGTCGTCCTCCTTCGGCTTCATAACATTCAGAAGCCGATAATATTCGAAAAAGAGCCGCCCAGTGCCCTCTGCAGAGTAAAGGGAATCTCAGATGAAATAAACTATATGTGACCAGGCCCGTATCCCTAAAGAATTTTTGTGCAAAAAGTGTCTCCTAGCGGCCAAATTCTAAGAAAATTCTCAGAGTCATGACGTTTTCTTAGAATTTCCCCTAAAAGTGACACGAAAATCCCAGTTGCCAGATCAAGTAAGTGCTTCTCATTTTGTGTGCAACATGCATCAGACATGACTTACCAAACAAGCCCTTTCGACTAGGATTGGCTGTGCACAAGTCATTGCATGGACTTCCACCGATGAGAAGATCAAATGGACCCCATTTCTTAATCTGAACAATGAAAGAGAAGAACAATCAACAGATTCTTCATCGAATGTGTAATTAAATCTCAGAGCATTTGTACTGAGAGGTTTTAACAATTATTAACAGAAAGTAAACAATATTATCTTGCATACATGTTCTTTCGTAATGTTCTTAACATCAGCCACATGAGTGATTTTTCCATCATGGTTGACCATAGAGACGGTCACCGATTCATCATCAACTTCTGAGGCCACATATTTTTCCACTTTGAAGCCGAGATCCCTTAGAACGAGGTATCCTGAAACACGAAAATGCATTTAAATGAACCACATGACTAGAACAAGAACAGACTGTGATAGACGTGTATTTAACTACAAGTGGTCCAAGAAGATGAAGTTACCAGTGGCTATGCCATCAAATAAGGAAAGGACTCTGATTGGACGTCGTAGGGTAGCAGGGATCGATGGGTAAACACGATGGGGCTCCTGAGGAGGTCAAATGTTAGAAGTCAAACCAAAACAAATCCAAATCAGGAAGATTTGTACAATATGATGAAGTATATAAAACAAGCACTAACAAACTCCATGGCACTGTTGTTGGCAAAGAATTCCTGCACACGGATGCTCCAGTCATGCCTGGGCTTCAAGGCTCCAGAGCTGCTCTCAGGTGCACACAGGTAACAGGTCCACGGGTCCACGTTTTTCAGCCGGTCGAAGGTCCTCTCGCCCACCAGGATATCCAGACAGTCCACACAGTAGCAGCTAAAGAAAGAAAAGAAACCAAATTAGATTGGTGGTCAAAACTTGTGAAAATTATTACAATGCATTTTTCTGATTTAAATTAACTTTACCGATTTACAGCATAGTCAAAAATTCCATTTAAAAGGAACCTGAACTTCAGAAATATCTTTTGCTTTCATGACTGAAAGCATTAACTTTTTACAAGATTTTGCATGTTTTCCAGCATTAGCAAAAACTTGGGCTTGGAAGTGAAAACAGTCACATGATCAATGTCACTAATGTGACTGAGAAATTGTGCAGCTTAACCTCAGTAATATGTGTTCAACACAACCCCACTCACCGACAACAGCTGTCATGGCCGCACAGAATGACCTCCATGCCAGAACAGCACACGGTACAGTACGACTGATAGCCATCTTCATCATAACGGTACAGCGTCTCCGTGAAATTATACTACATGTGACACAATTGAAATCATTCAGTGACAAGTAGTGGCATTACTAAACACGGATGAACAGAACAATGCTGTAGCAAAGGGTGCAGACTTTCAACACAAGGTTGGTTTGAGGTCAGCTTTGTCATATCTAAACAGTCCAAAAATGAATGGAAGAAATCGTTGTGGTTAATGGCAGTTAAAGTCCCACTTCCCTTGCTATTTGCCCATGTAATGCTGTTCACATTAGAATCAATCATTTCAATGAGCATTTACGGTTTACCTAGTTTAATGTTTAATGTGCATAAGCATGAGTTGGACCAGCTACTTAAGTTAGAGCAGCAAACTTAAAGGAGTAGTTCACTTAAAAAAAAAAAAAATGCTGATAATTTACTCACCCCCATGTCATCCAAGACGTCCATGTCGTTCTTTATTCAGTCGAAAAGAAATTTGGTTTTTGATGAAAACATTCCAGGATTTTTCTCCATATAATGGACTTCAATGGGAACCAAACGGTTCAAGGTCCAAAAGAGAGTTTCAGGGCAACGAAGAGGATTCCAGACGATGAATAAGGGTCTTAACAAGTGAAACGATCGCTCATTTAAAAAAAAAAAAAAAAAAAGTTAAGTTTTATAAGCTCAAATGGTCGCCTTGCTATGTTCTGTGATGCGCGTTTGTGACTCTCCAGTTCGAACACGTTTATCAAAATGAATGAATCTTTTTCCAAGTCAATTTGTTCATTTTGTTCGTTGAATCAACCAAATGACACAACAAAAGATTTGTTCATTTTGAGTTCGAACAGGAGTCACGAACGCGCTTCACAGAGCAGAGCAATCTGGAATCGTTTAAAGCCCTTTGAACAGTGAGCACTGAAACTGTCTTTTGGACCTCGAACTGTTTGGTTCCCATTGAAGTCCGTTGGATGGAGAAAAATCCTGGGATGTTTTCATCAAAAAACTTAATTTCTTTTCGACTGAAGAAAGAATGACATGGATATCTTGGATGACATGGGGGTGAGTAAATTATTAGCAAAAGTTTTTTTTTAAAGTGAACTACTCCTTTAATGAGTCCACGGTGAGATTGCATTTATTGTATGTATCTAAACAATAGATTGACAAATAGAGTCAAACAGATAAGAGCTGTACTCACCAAAATTGTTGCTGAGGGCACTGGACTTTAACAGGACTTTATCTTTACGCAGTGCCAGTCACTGACAGTATATAGATGATTTTATGCATCTTACTAATGGGTGTTAGCTGAAATAACCAAACTCTAAGTAGAAGTAGGTGTCCTACTGGCCAGCATGAAAATTAAGACAACCTAGATTCATTGACTACATCCTTGAAAACTACAAATGTGTGACGTGACACATGAGGAACATCTAAAGCTGTGTAATATTACTGTACCTTGCATTTCATGCACAGGCTGCCTTGGAAGAGTGGGTGGATGATTTCGACGAATGTACTCCCACATGATAAGCAGAACTCTGCGAGGGAAAAGCAGCGAAACTAGGATGAACTTTTCTCATTTCCAAGAGTTATTTTAAGGTCTAGAAAGAGAGTCTCTCACCTTCAATGTTTCTCTTGTTCTCCAGAAATTCATGTACCATTTGATCTGTGAGAAAATTTCAATAAACACCAGGTTACATGGGACTCTTTTTTTTGTTTACCATCACAATTTTCAATAGCAATAATAAGTATCAAATGGTGTACATACATCTTTTTTGGCTGTTCTGTCTGGACTCGACCTGCATACTTTCTCTGTAATTTAGATACTTATTCCAGTTTGTGCGATTCTGTTCTCTGCGTGTCCTCGGAGTCTGCAAGGATCTCTGATTCAATCTGGGCTGCATGAATTCTCTGTAAACATCTGTTTTTCTTAGGTTTATCGAACCTTTGTGCAGGTCCAGAGATTCGGGGAGTTTATTTAGAGATACAGTTAATTTAAATAATTTTTCTCGACAGTCTTTGCAGTTCGTAGAGGATCCAACATTCCCATTCACTGATCGTGGCATAAAAACCTCTTCTAAAGAAGCAAAAAAAGGCAAATACAAATGAATATGAAACAGAGACTTAAAGTCCAAAGAGTGTCTTCAGTATTTATCTGTTGCAATGCATACCACTATATTCTGATTGAGGTCGAAGTCCATCTGGACCCGTTGGCTTAAAGCCTCCAAAGGCCCAGTTCAACATAACTCTAAGCAGCTCATCCGTAGAGTCCGTCTCGAGAGAAAAAAACATTCTACTGCGCCTGGACGCCACCTAGAGAATATTTTGTATAAAACCTTGCTTACATGTTTACAAGTGTTTGTTGTTATGTCCATGCATGGAGAATTTGTTTGATTTTTTAAATAGCAATCTACACACTGGTAAATTGATGTTAGAGTGCTAAAACATGATAAAGCCAAATAAAATTTGCATTACCTGCAGAGAATTGAAAACTGCTTCTTTATATGTTGCTACTGTAGCAAAGGAATTAGAACAGAAGCACTTTGCAAATGAATAGAAGGGCAGGAGATCGTCAGCTTGGATCTGCAATGGAAAAAATATATAACATGATTTTTTTGTTGACTAAATAAAAGCACAAAATTTGCACACAAGACTCTGCATTTGTGTACCTCTGACAGCATCCTATTCCCAAAGAAAATCACTTTACGTATGGAGCCACAAGGCCTCTTGCTGTCCCACATCTGAACTAGTCCAGGCCAAAGACCAAAGCCCTCAATTGGCCCCCAAACCATCTCACCGACTGTGTAATTGCCCTAAAAAAGCAGCAGACATTAGACAGTCTAATATCTGATCACCAAGATTCACTGTGTAATTTGAGAAATGTTCTTCCCATATTATAAAGCTACCCAATGACTATAAATCCTCACATGACTTTAAAAAAACTTACAATATAGAAGATGATGAACCAAATGGCCTTCACATTATAATACTTTTATGGTTAAGTTGTATAATTTTTGAAACGTGAAGGCTTGAATTAATTGTTTTACAATTCCTTTTGATGATGTTTAGCAACAGAAATTACACACTTCAGCTTTTACTACAATGCATACAGTAATAAAAGTCTTTCATTTTTAGAAATGTTAAAGTTCTTACCTGGTATTGACTGGTTGTTTTCTCATTGTTATTTGAGATACTTCCTTTTCTTTTCTGGTAGAGAGAGCAATATGTTCAATCAAGATATCCACAACAAAACACAGCCCTTCTTTGCAAACAAGTACATATTTACCTTAGTCCATACAACATCATCATCACTGCTGCTGTACTCATCTTCATCACTACTGCTGAACTCATCATCACTGGAAACATATTGGTGATCTCCTGGCAACAAAGAAAGGACAAAAGTAACGTTTGATTTGGGCCAGGTTGCAAAGTTTCAGAAAGAATAAAATACCACTAGCTGGTATATTTAAAGAGAACCTGAAACCTTTTTGGTCCTTTTGACTTTCTGGGCCGGAATCACAAGAGACTGGCATAATGTCTTCCTCTTCCCTTAAGTCGATCACATCTGAGAATCAAACACATTTGTTAGAGTGTGATGTACAGTATAGCAAATAGAGATCATTTCATCAACAGTCTTTTATTAACTTTGTCATCGAGTTATAATGTTATAACATATTTTTCAGCTTCAAAGGTACAACGACCTGTCTCTTTACCGGATGTGATGCTCCTTTGAGTCTCTGGGCTGAGGTGTGATGGAGCGCTTTTATATGAGCTACTGTCTGTGGCATCGTCCTCAGCCATGTCTTTCTCCTCACAGTCCTCCATTTTACTCCCATTGAGATTGTAAGTTTGATTAAACATCTGAGAAAGAATATGACACTGTTACGTTATGTGCATTTGTCCTTATGTCTTTGTAATAAAGGTGTATGCTTTTTGAGGTTTTCTTTGAGTTTCAGATCATCATTGATTGGCTAATAGCCTGCCGGTGGTAATTGGATAATCAGCTGTCGGTCCTTTTAAAAATTCCTCTTACGTTTGATAGAGGGAACTGTTGCGGCTTCGGGTCGGTCGTTCCTGCCAGCCGCCAGATTGGTTGTGCATTTTATTTAGAATGTGCTAATGTCGGGGAGACCTGCTCTTTTGTTTGGAACTTATTTATTTTTATGTTTTTGATGAGCATAGTTAGGTAAGCTTTATTGTAGGTCATCTTTTCTTTGTGTTAGGTTAATGGGCTTTATGCCCAGCTGCACTACTTCCTGAACTTCAGCCAGCTCCTTGTTTCCTGTCTGCCATTATTGGCCAAATTGATTAATTCAGGTGTGTCTGATTATTGTTGCCATGACTACTGAGGTCAAGCACACCTGAATTAATCAATTTGACCAATAATGGCAGACAGGAAACAAGGAGCTGGCTGAAGTTCAGGAAGTAGTGCAGCTGGGCATAAAGCCAATTACGTTGTGGTTTAAAGTCGGCGTGAAATGGAAGTTGAGATTGTCATTTTTTCCTTGTTGTGACGTATATCCGAGTGAAACGGCTTCTGAAATTAGAAAAAAAAAATGTAGGGCAGGGTTTGACCAGAGACTATTTATATAGAGACATGCCACTTCCTCAATCTTTAATAAAACTATATAGGGAAAAGCCGTAACACAAAAGATGGCGGTTGTATGCACATGTCCCACCCCTCCCGCTGGACAGCCAATCGTCTGCTTTTAACAGTCAAGCCGGGAAACATTTAAGCCAATCATCTGGTTCCACCGACGCATGCGCACAGTTGAGGTTTGCGACAGCGGAAAATACGTTACTGTTTGAGAAGTCGACAGATTTGATATGCAGTGTATGTGTGCATTGTGTAAATATCAGGTTTTTAAAATTAGGTTTCTCAAACTTTTCATAGTTGACTGACCTGTTCAAAAATGACCTCTTTTTTCAAAGTTTTGGGTAGGGCCAATAGGCTAATGATTAATTTCCCAAAACTAGATGTCCTTCCCATAATCCTCAGCTTGGTCTTCCAGTACTGCTCCATGGACTGGTCAGCGGGGTGTGCGTCACCCTCATCAATGAACTGATACTCCAAAAACTCATCAGTGAGCAAGCTGACATTCTCAGGGCTTGAGCAAACCCCAAAACAGACACCTAAATCTTGGACGACTTTGCCGGTCACCTCAAGCTTTTTTCCTGGACTCAACACTAATGAGACGTTTCTCAGGGTGGAGTCTGGGAAGGGTAAGCGCTCAACAATTTCAACAGTAACAGTCGTGTAGAAGGAAATGATGGAACTGTGGAAAGTGTCCAAGTAGTCAGACAACTCAGCAGAGCATTGCAGGAGAAAATCAGCAGCCTGTTGGCCAACTTGAACCTCTCCTCTAGGTAAATGTCCCACTGTGTCCTGTACAAGTGATGTTTTTCCTCTCCTAAGAAAAAACTCTGCTGCTTTTGGTCTGAGGAAACTCGCTGTGTAACATCTCACTAATTGAGAAGCATCTTGGAGCAGCTGTGTCACGCCGACACCTCGGACAAAACTCTCCTGAAAATCACAAAGCGGTTGCAAAGCATGGCTAAGAAAGAGGACGTTGAGTCTTATTTTGGGATCACTGAGAAGATGACAGATTGTCTCCTGAGATCCAAAGTATTTTTCAAGGTCTGACCAAGCCAAAGTCATTTTCTGGATTATTCTACAGAATAGAGAGCATTGAGACGTCAGGAGATTATTGAAGTTTGACCCCTCAACATCTTCAAGCAAGTTTTGCAGAGCAGCTGGGAAAGATGGAAAGTGTTTGTAGATTTGTGTGATGAGATTCAGAATCAGGCCAGAAAACTCCATTTTCATGAAACCATTATGACACGCTCGTCCTGTCATATCTGTAAGTCCACATAAAGACACAATCCCAGGTTTCAGCAGCTTTAGACCAGCAAGAACATGTTCATGATCTGGGAAATTTGAATAAAATATTGCCATGTTCATTAGAGGTATTGTGAACTTCTTCAGCATCTCCACGATGCAGGTACAGATAGCATCGGCAGTCTCTTCCTTTAGATGGAGAACATCAAGCAGTCTGATCTTGTTTTCCCCAGTAGCTTTGTCAAAAAAGCCCAACAGGACCACACTGGCCTCTTTCTCATCTTCAAGCTCCACAGGATGGTATAAATAAAGGCAGTATGGAGTCTGACTGCAGAAGGCTGTAATTCCTTCCTGGTATTTCTTGCCTAATACTAGACTGTACTTGCTATTGGTACAGTTTGATCCAGCATCAGGTGAGGTAGATGGGGAATATTTTCTGATGAAACACAATGTGGCTGGGCTGCAGGAGAAAGATTCATTTGATTTCTTTTTAGCATTCTTCATGCTCTGGTTTGGACACTTTGATTGTTTGTATAGAGGACTGTTGATTCTTGAAGAACGTTCTCCCTTCTTATCTATGAAGAAAAGAATGGCAGATAGCATCATGTTTACAAGACCTATTTCATTTTTCAATATGCTCAGTCAAATTTGTTTTTACTCAAAAGTAAACACCTACACATTTCTGGTTCAGATCATGTTGTTTTCAGAACAATGTACAATGTTTTCAGGATTTGTCCATTCACCAACAATTTCTGCTCCAGTTTTTATAAAAGGGATACAACTATGTGGTAATAAAAAATAACATTGATCATAGCACATCATACTTGTTTAAAAAAAATGCATTATAAAACAATCAAAAAGAGTACAAATCTTTAATCACATAAACATATTCAGAGGGAATTATGTAAATAAATATGCAAAACGCTGAACCTAGGAAAACAGTATGCAGACTTTTATATTACTTTTATACGAAGGAGGACTATTTGTACAATCACAAACAACTTCACACACACACACACACACACAGAAAGTTGGAAGAAAGTGACAAGACTATCCAATTAAAAATGTTTTAACCAGGAAACAAAAATACCTGAGCAGATGTGCTTCACTTGACTGAATGAAAAAAGCCTTGCAGTATGTCATTGAGTTAGTCCAGTCTTTAGATTCATGGATCGACTTCTACATCTGATAATGTTAACACTTTTGCACTGTGATTTTAAATGAATAAATACAGCATTACACAATATTGTCAGTTAATGTGTAATTTGCTATGGAAAATTACTATGAAAATGTAACCCACGCATTACTGAAAGGAAGAACTAATTTACAAACCGAACAGATGTTTTCTTTTTGCCCGGAAGCCCGTTTAGATAAAGACGTCGTTACGATACACCTAATATGTCCAGAATTCAGTGGCAACACTTGGAAGATAAGTCTTGGTGAATGAATATGCCTCATTTATCCACATATGGCTACATTCATTTACCGCGAAAACTTGAAAGAGAGGAAACGGATGTTGCTGCCAATGAAGCGCAAATGGCCTCCCAAAATAGCGGTCATTCCTTCACATCGCACGTTTATGTGACCACTTAAGTCTCACATAACACTATTATTAATCTTCTTCTAAACACTGTAAACGGTACTAAACAACTATACAGTGGAAGACTTTTCCACGACTGTCCATCCAAAACATGCTTGTCTTCACGTTTCAAAATAAAAGCCGTTTTCTCATTTAATTTGGTTACAGCTAAGAACTCGTTGACACTTTAACACTCTCAGAATGAAAACGGTCAATATCTCAATAACTATTTTCGTAAATGCATCTTATATAGACGAATAAACCTGTGGTAATCGCAATGAAGAATCATCAGGGTCGAAGATAACAAGGTGTCAGATATAACGCCACTAACAAAATGTTTTAATTCTTAAAATGTGGAGGCAAAGATTGGGCTGCACTATGGTGAATTACTGTTTTTGTATCTTTACTTATTTTATTTTTTATTATTTTTTATACAATTTTATTTGATAATATTTTAGACACAGATAAACACTGAACACATTTAGCAGGTTTATTCATTTTGCTCAATCCCACATCAAATATGTCAATGTATCTGAAGCTTAACTTGATTACAAATTGAGAGAGAGAGAGAGAGAAAAAAACATTTTTTAAAAGTGACACGTGATTCTCAACAAAATGGAATTAACTTTTAGTTTTTTCCAGCATCCATTATTCCATACAATACTACATTATTAAAATTCTTAGTCATAACATTTTAGTTAAAACAAGGGTTTAAAAAAAAATTAAAAGCAATAAACTCTCATGTCCCTGAGTCGTTGAGTCTCTGAGTGACACTGACAGAAAAAGATTAAGACATTATAAATCTTCTGTTCATTTCAAGGGGACTTCGTCACAAGCAAAGTAATCCTTTAGTGGTGCTAAAAGATGTCTTATGACAGGGACACTCCAGGACTTCCCCAGCACTCTCTGCCTCTGGACACGCCCCATGTTTTTGACATCCGTGTAATGCTTCGGAAATCCAAATATTCTGTCAAAGTGCAAGTGTGACAGTGAGCATAAAGTAAATACATATTTGTGCTTACATTTTTATTTACAGCTAAAGGAGTAGAAGTTAAACTTACTTCTCCAATTCTGTGATCCACACATTGTCATCTTTTCCATTCATGGTGATGGGGTAATGCGCATCATTGGCACCCTGCTTCAGTGAGTTTGGCCGTGTGGTGATAGTGCGAACCTTATCATACTGCAAATTAAGAACATTATAGATGTCATAACTCATCCCTACTGTAACATCATTTCAATAACTTTGGCTAGAAACTTCTGAAAAACCTTTGCAGTGCGGCCAGCCTCCAGACAATCCTGAAGACGAAGTTTATCTTTCTGAGATGCTATGATTGGTCTGGTCAAAACCGAAGAAAACACTTAATGAATATCAGAAGTATATACTTTACACAATTGAGTATTTCACAGAAGGGACAGTTCACCCAAAAAATGAAATTTTGATATGATGGTGAGTAAATTGTGACAAAATTTTCATTTTTGGGTGAACTTTCCCTTTAAATGGGTGTGACAGTCATATGAATAACAGACTCACCTGTTCATCCCAGGTATGTTCCCCCAGAAGTATCTTGCTCTGTGAGCTGGACTCACTTTCACAGCATCAACAAGCACAGGGTTACACTAAAAAACAAACATACACGATTACACCATGTGACTAAATAAAAATATTTTAAAAATGGGAGCGGTTCAGCTGTTTTTTCTTTACTGAGAAAAATCTTACAGCCTGAACATGAGTTTTTAAAATTTAAAAGAAAACACTGAGTCTTTACCAAACATAACAGAATCACACTCACTTCCAGAAAGCGGCAAATGTCCGCTTTAACCTTGGTTTCCATGAACGTCACATTCTCAAACAGCCAGAAGAACGGCCGTGGGTCGTCCTCCTTCGGCTTCATAACATTCAGAAGCCGATAATATTCGAAAAAGAGCCGCCCAGTGCCCTCTGCAGAGTAAAGAGAATCTTAAGTCCACTCAGCGGCTGCATTTTCAACAAAACCTTAAATTTGATGTGTATGAACCATGTGTTAGTCAGTATCCAGACTTTTGTCTTACCATACAAGCCTTTCCGGGCAGGATTCACAATGGACAAGTCATTGCATGGACTTCCACCGATGAGAAGATCAAACGGGCCCCATTTCTCAATCTGAACAATGAAAGAGAATAAACTTGATAAGCAGATTCTTCTTTTGATTTGTAATTAAATCTCCGTGCATTTATAGACAGAAAACAAACAAGATGATGAAAAAATTATTTTGCAACCATACATGTTCTTTCGTAATGTTTTTAACATCATCCACATGAGTGATTTTTCCATCATGGTTGACCATAGAGATCGTAATGGACTCTTCATCAATTTCTGAGGCCACATATTTTTCCACTTTGAAGCCAAGATCCCTTAGAACGAGGTATCCTGAAACACGAAAATGCATTTAAATGAACCACATGACCAGTACAAGAACAGACTGTGATAGACGTGTATTAAACTACAAGTGGTCCAAGAAGATGAAGTTACCAGTGGCTATGCCATCAAATAAGGAAAGGACTCTGATTGGACGTCGCAGGGTAGCAGGGATCGATGGGTAAACACGATGGGGCTCCTGAGGAAGACAAATGTCAGAAGTCAAACCAAAACAAATCCAAATCAGGAAGATTTGTACAATATGATGAAGTATATGAAACAAGCACTAACAAACTCCATGGCACTGTTGTTGGCAAAGAATTCCTGCACACGGATGCTCCAGTCATGCCTGGGCTTCAAGGCTCCAGAGCTGCTCTCAGGTGCACACAGGTAACAGGTCCACGGGTCCACGTTTTTCAGCCGGTCGAAGGTCCCCTCACCCACCAGGATATCCAGACAGTCCACACAGTAGGAGCTAGAGAAAGAAAAAGGACCAAATTCAGCTATACAAAGTGGGATTCAAAGGTGTAAGGACACTAGAGAAGATACTTCTATTTGGCATTTTTCTATTTAGATAGTTTGTTTCACTACCAAAACTACAAATGAGAGAAACCAACCTCTTGCACAATTCATTATTTAAAATACATAAAAAGGTAAGAATAAAAATGTTGTCTGCTTCTTGTCCGTCTATCTGATTTATTATCTATATTTACAAAAACAAACAAAAGAAAAATCTGCAATGCTTATACAGTCACTAAATAGGAACATATTACTTAAATTCATTTAATAAATATCCAATGCTGTCTTTTCTGACACAAATCAAAGCATTTACAATATTCAGCAACTAATGTGCGAATGTTCCAAAATGGGTCCTATTTTTTCCCCATTTCTTTTATTTGAATTTGTCTCAACACTGCACACATTGATGTACAAAGGGATTTTTAGTGATTTGACAATGGACTTTAGTACATTTCACAAGGATGAAAATGAACCTTGTTTTCTGATCTGTCAAAAATGAAAAATGACAGTGACATGAGTCTATATTTTGAATCACCAATGTAATAAAGACTCACCGACAACAGCTGTCATGGCCGCACAGAATGACCTCCATGCCAGAACAGCACACGGTACAGTACGACTGATAGCCATCTTCATCATAACGGTACAGCGTCTCCGTGAAATTATACTACGTGTGACAAACAAACAGACAACCATTCAAATCTTTCAGCTAAAACTAGTGATACTCTTTGCACACCTACTGAACCTACTAAAAATGTTTGTCTAAGGATATTGTATGACCATACGCAATTTTTGGTAATAAGTGTAGCTGCTTTAGCTGCGAATTCTAGATGTGAAACTATAAATATAGTACCGTGCAGTTCGAACACAGCCTTCCTTCGAAGAGTGGGTGGATGATTTCAACAGGCACACTGCCACATGATAAGCAGAACTCTGAGATGAAAGAGAGGTAAAATTAGGATGAACTTTACTCAATATCAATGCTCATTGCAATATCTTTAAAATAATTTCTCACCTTCTATGTTTCTTTTGTTTTTCAGAAATTCATGCACCATTTGATCTGAAAACATTTCAAACACCAGGTTACATGGGATTTTTTTTTTCTTTGCTTTACCATCACAAATTTAATAGCAATAATAACTATCAATTGCGTACGTACGTCTTTGTTGGCTGTTCTGTCTGGACTCTATCTGTATGGCTGGTTTAACATTTTGATGCTTATTCCGTTTTCTGCGGGTTTTCACAGTCTGCAAGGACCTCTGATTCCATTTTGAATATGTGCGTTTTTTGTAATCATCTGTTGTCCCAAGGTCTATCGAGCCATTGTTCAGGTCCAGAGATTCAGGGAGTTTATTCAGAGATACAGTTAATTCAAATAACTTTCCTGCATGGTCTTTGTGGTTTCCCATGTGCCCATTCACTGATCGAGGCATATCAATTTTGTCTAAGGGAGAAAGAAAGATAAAAATACAGCAAATTAATACAGCATATGATGCTAAAAATGCAGCCAAGAGTGTCTTCAGTGCTTATCTGTTGCATACCACTGTATTCGGATTGAGGTTGAAGTCCATCAGGGCCTAATGGTTCAAAGCCTCCAAAGGCCCAGTTCAACATGACTCTAAGCAGCTCATCCGTAGAGTCCGTCTTAGGAGAAAAAAACATTCTACTGCGCCTGGATGCCACCTAAAGACGCATGACAAATCACAGAATGAGAGGCAAAGATGTTTCTGCACTAACATTTTTAAGATTGTTAAACCCTTAAAGGGTGAGTGCAATTTCTGTGCCACTTGCATCTCCAAGAGGAATTATAAACAAATGCATTACAAAATATTACCAGTGAAATTTTAGATAGAATTAGGCTTAGATTCCCAAAACTGTTTTTCCAGACAGTAACCGAACACTAAATTGCAAGCTGCATGCTAGTACATGGACCATAGATCACTAATAATAACACAATTCATTACCTGCAGAGAACTGAAAATGGCATCTTTATACGCTGTTACTGTAGCAAAGGAATTAGAACAGAAGCACTTTGCAAATGAAAAGAAGGGCAGGAGATCGTCAGCTTGGATCTGCAATAAGACAAACAGTTATATATAACACAATTAAATAAAAGAATAACACAAAATTCACACAAGACCTCTGACAGCATCCTGAGCTTTGTACCTCTGACAGCATCCTGTTCCCAAAGAAAAT